TTGTATTGAGCAGCCGTGCAATCTGGGGTTCCAAGGTTTTCCTTTCGCTCCAGTCGGAAGTCTGCGATCGGCAGTTTATCTCCCCACATCTACGAGATGCGGGAGAATCGAATGGCAGTCAGATGTACCAAAGTACTTCCCCCCAGTATTCTGCACGTGTCTCGCATGTGCTCCACGAGAGAATCTCGGGCAAAAATTCAGATGCGAAATCCCCCGTGAAACTGAGGTTAATCTCGGTGCTTTCGCATATTTTGCACTGAATCATCAATAAACTATTTTGGCAAGGGATAGTGCGCTTAGTACTGCTAATCCGAAATTATATATGTATGCATTTTTTTTAAATCCACTTACAACGGTTCAACTCCGGTTACGACGGCGCAGTCAGGAAGCTCACAGGACCAATCTCGGTTGCGAAGAGCTCTTTAAAGTGGCTCGTAAAAACATGCTCAGCTTCACGTAGACCGGACAGCAAGATGTAATAAACAGATGCTGCACAAGCCAAAGATCATCTTAAGTCGACCTGACTTAAGATTAAGGTGTCCGATTAACCCTTATCCATTAGACCCCTTACTACGTTCAATGTACGCATAAAAAATGTCATCCCTGATTCCTCCATATTTCATAACTTTATCACCTAATGTCTGCCTGAATGAGACCTTGAGTAAGGGAAAGAAAGTGAGGAAAGAGGGGAATCCCTGACTTCATCTTAGGCTTTTGGGATAGGATTCCTCCCCAAGCAGGATCTTCCGAAGAGACGAGTCCCTAAGGTGAAATTAGGGGCAATATTCTTTTGGGATTACCCGAACGTTTTCGCACTTGTCTTTTCGTCCTTGGGGACGCGTTGGGACGACGTTATTCCCCATATGGTTCGGTATGGGCAAAGTCGAGTTGGTCTCACCCATTGTTAGTGGTTCGGCTCCATCTGAAAATTTTCCTTCGTGTTGCTACTTTTTTTTCACGTTTGGCTGAATTTGTCCCTTGGTCTTTTGGTTGTCAGGCTAAGAATGGGCTAATGCAAAAATGCATGCAGAAATCTGAGACTGAGGATCAGACAGCGAAGCAGGAAGCGTATATACCTCAGGAATAAATATTTGCAGCAATTTCCTTGTGTGACTTTCTCGCAAATTAAGCTTTTATTCTTTGTCTGGGATCACATCAATTAATTTTATTCGTAACATCAGGGTTAATGTTACTCTAATCATATAGGGTGAACATATGAAAATCGGATGTAAAAGGTACCACAAGGTAACACATTATGAACTACATTTGAAAGGTAAACGCAAGTGCAGGTAAAACAAAGTTTTAAAAAAATACGGGTGAGAAAGAGAGGAACGTTGAAACTGAGGATTATAACTGGTAAGAATGCGGTAAGATTTCACGGTGAAATTCGGTAGCCGTGGAATTCAAACTGTGAAACAGGCAAAAAAAATCGGAAAATTTTCCCATTTTTAGACCTTAGTTTTGCCATCCAAATTTTACCTGAGAAAAAAAAATTGTTTGGTATGCAAAATGATTCCGCATTACTTTTGAAATTCAGCGGAATCAATAAAACAAAGACGTTGCTTCGTGGTAAGCGTGTTTTTACCTTCTGTTTACCACAACTATGTACTAAAAGTAATAGGGGGTCCATTCAGGTCCATTCAGGTTGGCTTAACCCTTATCCGGGCAAGGTATTGCCCGGATAAGGGTTAAGCCAACCTGAATTAAGATTAAAGTGTCCGATTAAGTCAACAGTAATAAATTACGTCCATCTTGAGTCAGCCAGAAACATAAAAATGAGAGACTCCTCACGCGATCCTCCTCCCGCCCGCGTTGCTACCTCCCCTTGCGACGGCCTGGGCCAACGAATGGGGAAGGCGCGGGAGAACCTCCACCTTTGAGTATCGATGCTGAGAATGGCCGATCTCTCGCCCACGCTTCTTCAGTCGCCTAGCAACGGGGAATTCCCACCTCCATCGTCTGATGCCTCCGCATAGAGGGCGCTTGCTTCCGCGGCGAATTCAGATGAGCGTCGCTCGTCGAACGGCAAAATCGCGAAGTAATATCTCGAGTTGATTAAATTCTTCGCAAAAGCAAACTGGTCTGTGGCGAATTTTCTTCAGATGCTGCGCGAAATCTCTCTCTCTTGATAGTCGGATTGAGTGAGGCTTAGCACTTCATCACCACCATTAATTCTAATAAATAAAATAAAGAGGAAAATCCGAGTTTCGGAAGTGGATTAATCTCATTTGACCTTTATTAAGCTTCCTGATCTGCTAGAATTCAACAAAGATTAATTTGACTTATTTTTAATTTTTCGTCTGACATTTATCTCCGCCATTAATATTCGGATGGAAAAGCTTCGGCTCCATCCGCGTAAAGGGGAAAATTGCGGGGCTTAATGGCGATCCGGCATTATTGCAACGAGAGCTTGAGGATAATCCGGATTAGTTTGACGCCGAAGAAGCGGGAGAATCTGAATAATACATAGAGACGAAACCCAATTAGAAGAGACCTCTCTCATGGGCGAATGCCCTTCGTGACGTCACACTCTCTCTCTCTCTCTCACTCTCTCTCTCTCTCACTCTCTCTCTCTCTCTCTCTCTCTCTCTCACTCTCTCTCACTCTCTAACTCCTTCGAGCCTTTATTTGCACAACTGGGAGTCGGAGGGACCCAGGGATATTGGAGTGTCGGGTGAAAAAGTCCTGGAAGAAGTCCTTGAGGATGCGGAGAGGCGGCATCCTTTCCCACTGAGTCCTGCTGGGATGCAAAGATGAATGGAGAGACTGAGTTTACTCATGTCGGCCATTACACATTCGCGGATTTGGGAGGAGCGTTGCCGGGTTGGACTCGCGTCGGGATTAATGCAATTCCTGCATGTCTTCCTAGTGCAGACGGCAAACAGAGATTGATGTGGTCATTTGTTACGACGGGTGGGGGGAGGGGGGGGGAGGGGAGGAGAGGGGGGGAGAGGGGGGGGAATAGACGGAAATATGTGTCTTCCATGACTGTGCTTCGTTTCCCTGTATGAATTTTGGGATATTTCCGGGAATTTCTCCCATTTGGGAACCTGTGAAGCCTTCAGAGCGAGAAACGATCGGAAGCGGAGAGATGTCTCAGCCATGTCTGAGCCGTGTCTCAGCCATGTCTCAGGAATAACGGCTTTCCGCTTCATCGACTGGTTGGCAAGAGCGATTGGAAACAGAAGACTGGCGACGAACGGGAAATTTAATGGGAAAACCTTCGATGGCTTCATGATGAAGAAAATGACTGAAGCGAAATAAATTATATAATAAATTATAAACATATTTTAATGGGAAACTTAAAAAATCCCAGAAGGATCAAGAGCCAAAAAAAATTATATAACCAAGATCATCGAAAGAGAAATGTCAGGATTGGCTGAAGATATGGCGCACTTCGAGCGAAGAGAGGCGAAAGAGCAGAAGAAAACGGATTAAAGGGATTAAAGGGATTTAAAAAGGAATTAAAAACAATTAAAAGGAATTAAAAGGAATTAAATGAGAGCAGTTCTGAATCGACCGAGTCCTTGATATATTTCAGACGAAGGCCTTGTCGGTCATCAGCTGAATACCTGCTTACCATTATTTATCAGCAATTAATGCCAAAATTAAAATGAAAAAATTTCATTTAAAAATTTAATAAAGCAAAAAATTAATTGACAGCTACCGATGGTGTTTTCCGCACCTGCTGCCGTTGAAATTGCGGCAGAAGGACGGACGAGACAACGAACGAATTGTTTATCCTGCCGACATTGGGGTGGCACCATTCAAATGACCAAATTTGAAATATTGGCTCAATGTATAACGTAAAATGACCAATTTGAAAATATTGGTTTAATATACCGTACCATCGAGGAACCGGCACGAAAGAGATAAATCACATTTATTTACGGTCAAGGAAAAGTTGCCCTGCTAAGCAATGTGACGATTTAATAAGTTATTTATGAAATAACTTAATTCATAAGCAAAGCACGAAATGGAATGGTTGTGTACATTATTTAGTGAAATGGTGCTTCCATTAAACTTTTTTTTCTCGTGAAGTTATTAATTATATGTAAAATTTCAGTATCTCATAAGACGGTTTCTCCTTTGCATGATTTTTATTTAACCAAATATGATTATTTCAATGTGCCGCACGAAAAATGAAATAATTGGCCGATGAATCATTGCTCTCGGAATGAAAGATACCTAATTTATTTTTTCGAGACGGGTGCGATTTAAAATTTGTCCGAAGAAACGAAAACCTCGCGATGAAAATGGGCCCACACGCCTCGAGCCAAATTTGAGGGAATTGATGGAATTTCAGAATTTTCATTGCAATAGCTAAGGTTTAATGGCATTAGGGGGGGGGGTTGTGGTGACGCGCAGATTATTTCTCAAGGGACGTTTAACCCAGGAATACCCGCTTCTGTCGCAGCTGAACAAATTTTTAAAAATTTGTCTCAGCTGAGACAGAAGTGGGTTTTCCTTCCTGGATGAAAGAAAAAGTAAATAAATATAAATGAATGAATAAATGGGCAGACAACGGGACCATTCTCGCGCAACTGCAACTCTAAGCGAATTCCTTAAGCGGAGGTTCAAATCAAGCTCCGTCCTCTTCAAATGCATTCTTCTTCGCTGAGGATTTCGGGATTCGGGGCACTCGTCACGAAATGCGTGGAGGAGGTGAAATGGAGGAACATGCTTCCGAGGGGAGTCATCCTCCGTCCGTGGGGAGGCGCCCTGCGTCCATAGGGAGGCATTAGAACGGAGCCTCGGGATTTTTTCCGGGTCTCCATCGATTCACGGCAATCTGTCCATGTCAGTTAGGACGAAGTTGGGGATGGTATGCGGCCGGGATCGGGAGAGATCCCACTTCCCAGCGAAACGCTGTCACCGAGGTCCACACAAATGTTTTATTTCTTGACGGATGAGAACCCGTGACGTGGTCGTTACTCGCCTAGGAGGGCACTGTCGGAGGAGCTTCGCTTCCATGAGGAATCGAGCGGAAAAGTTCCTACTGCGATTTAAGAATCTTGCCTGCGAGATTATTCACTTCCTTGATGTGAATTTCGTTGGATGCAGCCATGCCGGCGATGACAGCCACCTGCGCTTTCTGGGCCTCGACCTCGTAGCCGATGTCGATGGCCATGGCGCGCATGTTTCCGATTATTTGAGCGATCCGTTGCACGTTTGCCTCCATCTCTTCCTCCCTTGCGTCGTCCGTCAGCCTAGGGATGCAGTCCGAGGCGACTTCGGGTGGCGGGAGCCTCTTTGGTTGTCGCTCGACTACCTTCCCGTTCCCGCTCCTATTCCACACCGCGACCTCCTCGAACCGCGATGCCCTCCGGCACGGCAGTATGCAGAGGCAGCAGCACCGCCGCATCTTAGCCAGGTTCCCGCTCGCCTCCCTCACCTCCACGCGGATCTGCATCATCGCCTGCTCCACTCCGTCCAGCTGGTCCCCCTGCCTTTGCAGTGCGACCTGTGTCTTGGCCCCCGCGTCCCAGCTCTCCTCGCACATCGCCACCGACCGCCTCGTGCTCTCCAGCGACTCAATGGTCACCCGATCGGCCTGCAGTTGCAGATGGGACCTCGTTTCCCCATCGGACGGATCCATAGCCATTTCCTTTTCTCAACTGGAGTCAAAGGGACAGTCTGTCATTTCCCCGTCACAGTCTACTATTTGATATTTCCCACATGGTTCTTACCCTGTTCCCACTCTCCCTTCTATCTTTCGATCGGAGTCCAGAGTTCTTCTGCTCAAGCCTGCGTTGACACAGGCTGAAAAAAAACAATATTGAATTAATATAAGGATTCGTTTGGAGGAGAAAATTATTTTGTTGAATTTTCCGCTGGAAATTCCGGAAGCCAAAATACTTTCCAATTTTCTGAATTGAGGGAAGGATGCTTTAATGAGTTTTTCATGTTGGCGTTGATTATCCTCATATGGGTTTTACTATCGAAGTATAAATAAACAGATTCTTGATGCGACTTACTAAAACTAGTTTTTGCGTGCTTTGTTGCATTGTATTTTGCTTTAACGTTACGCATATGAAGTATAATGGGAATATTTTTTAGAAACTTGGATCTGAGAATAATTAGAGAACTCACTGCATCCAGAAATGGAATGCAGAACGTCACTTCGGATGCTAAGGCAGAAACCAAGATTGGGCAAACACCTTTGACTGCGAGTCGTCATGGTCAGACACGAATTTGAAGCTGAAGCTGCCTGCGGAGATCGTTTCGCTGTATATTATTGCGAGTGATTATTTTTTACATAACTTGCATTTATTGTATTTTTTTTTTGCGTCTCCAGAGCCCAAGAGAATATTTCAGGAATTCCCTCCATCTATTCGGCATACTTTACTTCGGGGTGAGAATGTGCTTTAATTTAAAACTGGAATTGTCTGGCAAATCTTGATTAAGCTATAACGATGAAACTGCCACACACACACGCACGCACGCACGCACACCCACACACCTACGCATGCGTGCGTGCACGCCCAAACGCCCTTTCTTAAAGCATACGAAGAAAGACGTCCTATGCGTTTAGATGTGAACGTCGCATCTAACGGACACCACAAATCGGTGGCTTCACAAAGTCCATCTCCAGCTTTGGTCATCGGAATTCCCAAGAGGAGGAAATAAATCCTCAACAAAAGTTGGGGATTCGTATCAGTTGCAGGCTTTCGTCAGCTCCGTCTTCATGAGAATCATTCAACAGGCATAAACGAATCAGTCTTTCATTGGGGACTCTATACCCGAAGTACTGGAGAGTACTAGGCAATACTGAACTGTACTTCTTACTGGAATGCACTGGACTTCAGGGATGAACGGCAGGGATGGACTCATCCACATCCATTCTCGAGTGGAATCGATTATTTACTCAATGACGGTCCCATTCTCGTTACTAACAGACTGACTAGAATATCTATATCCCATGATCCGAGGAATGGAATGGCATCTGAATGGAGTGCTTAAGAGCACTCTGTCATACGATCGTATTATCTAAATGAGGGCATTGGGGGAATGCTTCTCAGTGCATAGCGATTCATTAACAGTAAGGTATTATTAGTATGTTTGCATTTTTTTTTTTTCATCGAGGATATATAGGTAGCCCATGTATAGGTAGCCCATTCGAGCAGTTCATTTCCGAAGAGGCGACATGGAAAGCTTGATGAGAATCGAAGCCGTTACAGGTGCTGTCACCGTCTCCGTTGTCGTTGTCTGTGCTGTGGTCCTCACGCCGGAGTGGATTCCTTGCTTGGGTTTCTATGCGGTCGTTTGGATCGGTTTGCATCTGAGGCGTGCTCGGCGAAGTGCTGTTCGCTATTCCTTGAATCCTATAAATTTCCCCTGTTGGTGCAATTGGGTTATGATTTACTTGTGTTTCACATGTTCTTGGAACTGCTGGCACTCGTACCACGGTTGTTCCATCGTTCCTTTGCGTTTGCCTTTCATGAGCTCCTTAAGTTAGTCAGCTAAAACTCAGATCCAAAATCCCACATGAAGACCCTTTGAAACTGAGGTTAAACTCAGGGCTTTCACATATTTAACACGAGATCCGAAATTCCCTCTATTGGCAAGGAATGGTAAGCCTTGAGCTGCCAAACCAAAAATATTCGAGAAAAAAAAAACCACTTACAGCTGCCGAGTTCCAGCGTCGATTTTCCAGGAAGGAATTTCTCACAACACCAATCACGGAAGTGAAGAGCACTTCAGCGGGTCGGCCAACCTGAATTTAGATTAAAGAGTCCGATTAAGTCATCAGAATAATAAGATTACGTCCATCTTGAGTCAGCCAGAAACATAAAAATGAGAGACTCCTCACGCGATCCTCCTCCCGCCCGCATTGCTGCCTCCCCTTTCGACGGCCTGGGCCAACGAATGGGGAAGGCGCGGGAGAACCTCCACCTTTGAGTATTGATGCTGGGAATGGCCGATCTCTCGCCCACGCTTCTTCAGTCGCCTAGCAACGGGGAATTCCCACCTTGATCGCCGACGCGTCTGAGCAATCGTCTGATGCCTCCGCTGGGGTCGCTTGCTTTCGCGGCGAACTCGATTCAGATGACATATACTCATGTTATACATATACTCAAACTTTTTTATTATTGAGATTTATTATGGCTGGATTCAATTTGACTCCACGATATCAGTTACGCAATGAAAAAAACACAAGGATGATGGATGGTTGGATGGAACAAGGAGGATGGTTGATGATTATGAAGAGCCCCAAATGTTCCTCTCAGTTTTTATTTTTCATTTGTGAAATCCGACCTCCCGCCCCAAAAAGTTGGCAGTAGCATATGTGAATTCCTTATGCCAAGTAATATTAATTGCAAAAGTTGCAACATATGCAAATGCACCTGAAGCCGCATGTTGTGAAAATGCAACCAGAAGCCATTCCCCATTAACATGGGTATGCCTTGCGTAAGTTATATTATTAATATTATCACATTTGACTGAGAAAACCCATAGGAATTCTTCACAAAAAGCCAGCCGGTCGTCGACTGAGTCGAGTTTTCTTCAGACTTAGCGGGAATTCTCGCTTGCTTGACTTCAAGGAGATTCCTTTCCTTATATTTTCACGTAAGTATTTAGAGAATATGGAAAATAAATAATTCATTAAAGTTGGAAGGATATCTTGAGGAAAATATAATAAGAAGGAAACGTCGAAACTTGGGAAGAGAATTAATCTCGATTATCCTTAATTTAACATTCATGCAAGTCTAATATCTATCCGTGATATTAGATTGGCTTTAAAGTTTCGGCTCGAACCGGGAGAGCGACCTGAATTTCCTTCATGCGGTTGCGTTCGCTCGACCTCGATGAGAGGTAGAAATGTGCTATTGAGGGTGAATTGATCACTGCAGGTGGGATCCCAGCACTGGAGCAGGTGGGACTCCTATCGAGGTAAGGTGGGGATTCCTCCACCATCGCTATTGTCCATCGTCGGTCCCAATAACAATAAGCACTACTGCAACTGAGACTTCCTTCCAGTCCTGCTTGAAGTCGATCCCAATTGGCCTTCTCGTTCCTTTTTTTCGGTTAGGAATCCTCACTGGAGACTTGCTGAACAATGACTAATAGGGCGAAATGGCTTCATGGTCATACCCCTTACGAGAGAGTCCTGTAGAAATCCTAAAGGAATGTATACAAATCCAATAGGAACATATAGGACCTATAGGGTTCCTATTGGGAAGCATGCATTCCTATAGGGAGTTAATAAGATTCATATAGGAATCGTATACTATCCAAGAGGCTTCTCATTGGACCTATAGGCTTCCTATGAGAATGTATAGATAAACACTAGGCTTCCTATAGGATATATAAGGTTCCTATAGGAATCGCGTAAGTAATATTGACCTGTTGCCCATTCCCGTTGTAATGTCTGCGTTTCGAAACCCAAAAAATCCTCCCCGAAATCCTATAGCTCAGGAGTCCTATACGACCCTATAGGGATCCTATAGGTTTCCTATAAGAAATTTAATGTTTCCTATAGGACATTTCCGTAAGGGTATCGACATCGTATCCATCTTCGGTCTGTCTTTCATTCAATATCTTGCAGAAGTTAATTGCTCATTCTTGATTGGCGTTATGATTAGCGAATCCATAGCTATTGCTGCTCGTACATAGTTGTAACTCCCCAGACTCTTTCCAGCACGAATTTAAAATGCTGCTATGTCAGAACGCCTGCCATCGGATTAATACTTATTCCCTCTTAAATTGAAGAAAAAAAATCAAGCTTGAAGCCGCACTATTTGCGAATGGTATTCGTAACTTTGAGCTCTTCTTTTAAGTTGAGCTTATCCATGAGATGCCTTCAATATGTCACGGAAGAAAAAACATGCAAGATTGAATTCAACCACCAATATTTTTTTTTTGACGCCCAGGACGCGACGCGAGAACCGCAAGCCCACCGTACAGACAGTCCGCGAAGGACCGGGACGTCCGAGGACGCAGGAAAGACTCGAAAAAGGGGGGAGAAGAGAGCCGAATGCTCATGCAGTTCATGAATGATTCATTCATGAACATTTTCGTTCATGAATGATTCATTCATGAACATTTTCGTTCAAGAATGATTCATTCATGAACATTTTCGTTCAAGAATGATTCATTCATGAACATTTTCGTTCATGAATGATTAATTCATGAACATTTTCGTTCATGATGAATAATGAATTGCATGATTCTCTTGCAGTTAATGAACGCCCCGAGGAGATGGGCGTCGCCTGTTTCATCTATTTGATAAATTAAAATTTTCTCATAACGCTTCCACTGGACTGGGACCGAGGTCTAGGAAGGCGGATGAAATCAGACGAGAACAAGATTTCATNCCGATGTCGTTGGCCATGTCGTACATGTTCCTAACGATCCGATCGATCTTTTGCAAGTTCGCCTCCATCTCGTCCTCCCTTTCGTCGTCCGTCAGCCTGGAGATGTAGCCCGAGGCGACGGGGGGTCGCTGGAGTCGCTGCGGCTGGCGCTCGACCACCTTCCCATCTGCATCCTTCTTCCACTCCTGGCCGTCCTCGAACAGCGAGGCCCTCCAGCACGGCAGTGGGCAGAGGCCGCAGCACCGCCGCATCTCAGCCAGGTGCCCGCTCGCCGTCTGCACGTCCACGTGGATCTGTCGCATCCCCTGCTCCATCCCGTCCAGTTGGTCCGCCTGCCGATGCAGCGCGACCAGGGACGTGACCCCCGCGTCCCAGCTTCTCTCGCACATCGCCACAGACCGCCTCGTGCTCTCCAGCGACTCACTGGTCACCTGATCGGCCAGCAGTTGCAGATGGGACCTCGTTTCCCCGTCAGACAGACCCATCGCCAGTTCTTTTGCTCAACTGGAAACAGATGGACAGTCTGTCGTTTCTTGTCGTATTCAATTAATCAATTTTTCACTCAGGATTCTTACTCTGTTCGTCTTCAAATGGCTCCAGCAGGATCGTCGTCGGGCGAACTTCTAGTCAGGCTCACGTTGACAATGGCTGAAAAACGAAATTCTTATTGAATTACAAGGGGAATGACATGAAGGAGCAAATCCTCTGGGGGCACATTCCGTTGGACGCATTTCCCCCAAGCCAATGGCTTTTGTATTTTCGAGAAGTGAGGCGGAAGGATGTTGACATTTCCTGACTTGAATGAGATCTTCGAGGTGAATTTAAAATAGCTCCTTGAAGCCGCTTGCGGAAATACGATTTCGCGATTTCTCACATTGATAATTTGCTTGAAAACTAAACACATGAAATATAATGGAAATATTTTCTGGAGTATTGCTGTAAAAATTAAGTGGAGAACTCACGCGCACGGAATTGGAAAGCAGACAGTTACGAAGGATGACTCCATTCTGGCACGGTTGAAGCTGGAACCAATATGGCGCCAATTTCCTTGGATCGAGTGTCGCCAGGGTCAGGCAAGAATTTGAGTTGAAGCTACCTTTAAAGACCAATTCCCTGCATGTTCTTCCACATGTTTATTTCATGTTTAACTAATGTTTATTGTAATGCATTTATAGCTTATCAAGATCGCAAATGAATATTTCACGAATTTCACAAAATTTTCTCCTTCAATTCGGCACGTTTCGCTGCGGGACAAAAATTTGCTGCAACTTAAAGCGTGGGTGTACCTGCAAATATAACTGAAGTGGCCTTCAGGATGTCACGGGCAGATAGGAGTACATACACGCATGCATGCATGCGTGCACGTGCAAACGCCCACTCATACGCACACGAAAAATGACTTCCTCCGCGTTTTGACGTGAATCTCGCAGCCAAAGGACGCCCCGGGCAGTGGCTACTCCACCTCAAGCTTAGTTCATTGGAATTCTCAAGCGAGAAAATTAATCCTGGACGGAAATTGGGTTTCCGTTGCAGTTGCCTGCTTTAGTTTATCCCGTCTTGATGAGAATCATCGACAAGCACGATGGGGACTTTTTTTGCATGGTAATTATGAGGAGAATCTGCGTTCGTCTTGCGAACTGAAAAAAGTTACCGGACAGTACTAAACAGAACTAGAACGTACTGGGAAAGCACTTTCTGGGATATATGGCGGGAATGGACTCATCCAAAGTCCACTCTTGAGTGGAATCGATCACGTACTCGAAGACGGCCCATTCTCGATACAAACAGTCGGACAAGAAAATGCATATTTCATGATCCGAGGAATGGGATGACATCTGAATGGAGCGCTTAAGAGCACTGTCACACGATTTTATCGTCTAAATGAGGGCTTTGGGGGAATGCTTCTCAATGCATCGCATTTCCCAAACAGTCATTAATAATTTGTATTCATTTATTATCATTATCATCGAGGGATTTCATAGGCAGTGCGTTCGAGGAGTGCTCATCCGATGAGGCGACCTGGAAAGCCTGATGGGAATCGAAGCCGTCACAGGTGCCGTCACCCTCACTGCGGCCGTTGCTTGCACGGTCGCCCTCGCGTCGGAAGGGATTCCTTTCTCGGCCTTCTATGCGGAGGTTTGGATCGGCTGGGGCATGTGTGGAAAGGCGAATACCTCCAGGAGGCATTCGCCTTTCCTCGAACCAAAAGAAATTTCCCTTGAATTGGGTTTTTGATTTTCTCTGCGGGCTTCGCATTTTCCTTTCGCTTCGTTCCCCGTGTCCAAAGTGAATCTCAGGCAAACCTCAGATCCGAAATCCCATACGAAGACCCTTTGAAACTCGGGGCCTTCACGTATTTTGCACTGGTTTTGGCCAGGGATCGTACGCTTTCAGCTGCTCAGTCAAAAATACTCGAAGAAAAATTCACTTACACCAGGAAAACTGCAGCAGACGTTGGAAGAAACTTCTCACAGCACAAATCACGGAGTTGAATTGTCCTTCAAAGCGGATCGTCAAACTAGCTTCAGATTAAGCCTCACTTTTATCAGATGGCGAGGTCTAATAAGAAGCTGCACAATGGAAAGAGCATCTTAAGCGAACCCGAATTAAAGGCTAAGATTAAAGTATTGAAATTCAAGCCCATCTTGAGCCATCCAGGAGCAAAAAAATGAGCGGCTCCTCATGCGAATCCGCTTCCGCCCAGGCAACAGCTCGTGTGAACGGGGAAATGGGGAGGGAGGCTCTCATGCTGGGAATGGCCGAATTCGCCCACGCTTCTTCAGTCGCCTAGCAACGGGGGATTCCCCTCGCCTCGGGCGCCGACGCGTCTGAGCCTGTCTGCGATGACCCCCCCCTAATTCTTCGCCAAAGGAAACCGGTCGTCGAAGGAATCAAGTTCTCTTCAGAGAACTTGATTGACTGGGAATGACTGGGAATTCCCTCTTTTCGCTGATAATCGGCTTGGTCGAGACACTTCACCAGGTTTGGATCACTTCTAACGCTCTCCAAATCGTATTTCCGCGTCAGAACGGAAGAAACAGGGAAAATAAATCACTGCACGAGGCACAAATGATACGAACAGGCTTAACGATAAAAAAAAAATAGGAAAAGACGGGAGGAGAATATCCTAGATCTTTCCCCATTTCGCACTGCTTCCTCATCGGGATCCCAATGGGATGAGCATGGGATGAGGAAGCGAGGCAGTAAGTTTATTAGTCACGCCCCTCGCACTTGGCGCTTCGTGGATGATCAGCGTCGAGTCGGCCTCGCGCGGGTTCATCTCATTCCTGCTCTTTTTCCCAAGTGAGAACAAACAGCGCCTGCTTTGCTCATGTTTTTTTTTTACTGGAGAAATAAAATGTCCGGCACGGCTGTAATTTCGTTTCCTCTTTTGAGATGAGGCTTGGAGCGTTTTCTGGAGATGTTCGATTTTGGCAGCGTTCAGCGCGAAGAGGAATGGGATGGGAATGCTGGGAGATGTCTCAGCGTTGTCTCAGCGTTGTCTCAGCGATGTCTCAGCGTTGTCTCAGCGTTGTCTCAGCGTTGTCTCAGCGTTGTCTCGGCGTTGGACAGTGTAAATAGAAATTATGGTCAACGGATGATTGTCGACGAAACGGGCATTCAATGAGAGGCTGTCGATGGCCTCATACTTCGGACGAGTCGCCTCTGTCAAGAGCAAGAAAACCAAAAAATAAATAAATGAGGAGCAAAAAAATTAAATAAATGAGAGAAATGAAAAAAAAAATTCCCAAAAGGATGAAGAGCCAAAAATGATAATTAAAGAGGCAAGATTATGGAAAGCGAAAAAGTCAGGAATGGATGAAGAGAGGGTGAAAGAAGAGGGATTATTTGATTTAAAAGGGATTAAGTAATCATGGAACGACAGAATACTCGACAGAATTTGGACGGAAAAATTCAAAATTCAATAAATGAATTTGAATTCCAATTCCAATTCATTAATTCTGACGAAGGCTTCCCTATTTCTCTCCTTGCTGATTGTGCCAGTACGTTACTGCTGATTATCAGCCGAATCCCAATCAGCGATCGAGAGGTACTTCGTACAACCGTTGCGGCTGGAGTTCCAACCGCAGGAAGGAGAATAAGTAATAATAAAAACTTCCCCGAATCCTCAGAGCCAAAAAAAAAAAAATTAAATAAAAAGGAATGAGGAATGAATGAAAAAGGAATTTTCTTCCTGAGCGCCAATTCAATTGGCAGAAAATACAGGCATCCTAAATTGTAATGTCGATAAAACGCTACGAGAATTCGGCAAATTTACTTAGAGACTTCTCTCTGCCTGGAGAATTGCATTTGCCATTCAACCCTTGAAGTACAAGAAAGTACTTTCAGGGATGAATGGCGGAGATGATCTCATCCCAAGTACATTCGTGGGTGGAATCGATCATGGGCAGCCCATTCTCGTTGCAAACACGCTGATGAATATATATATATTTCATGATCAGAGGAATGGGATGGCATCTGGATGGAGTGCTTAAGAGCACTTTGCCACAAATGAGGGCTTCGCAAGAATGGCTCTCGAAACAGCATTTCAGAAACAAACGTGAATTAATTGTGTCCGTAATTGATTATTATCATTGAGAGACTTCATAAGCAGCGCATTCGAGGCGTGCTTTCGCGATGAGACGACCGGATAATTTAAAAAAAAATGGGAATCGAAGCCGTCGCAGGTGCCGTCGCAGGTGCCGTCACCGTCACTGCGGCCGTTGCTTCCACGGTCGCCCTCGCGTCGGAAGGGATTCCTTTCTCGCGTTTCGATGCAGATATTTGTGTCATGTCTCAACTTTATTCTTTATTCCTTATTATTGGTTATCCTTTCTCACCCATACCATCTCTTACATCAGGGATAAAACAACCTTTTCTTCTCAACGGCACCCTTTCCAGAAGACGTTGGCGGCACCACTGCGCACTCATGAACCTGGTGCACCCAGGGTTACCAAAGCTAAATTTACTCACCTTGCAAAGAGGGGAGCTAGGAGGAACATTTGGGGGGGCAAGTAACTTCTCGGGAGGAGGAGGGGTGGAGCCCCCCCCCCCTCTCGCTGCGCCACAGCCTCAACATAAATAATATTATTATATATATATATATAATAATATTATAAATAATATTATTATATATATAAATATTATATTGATTTTGCTTATATATACAATATAAGCAAAACTAATAATATATGCCTAACTAGGACCTCTGAATTCATTAATGAATTCCTCCTCCAACGCAATGCCTGCGTCTGCCACTTGTTGCCATGAAAATCAAGATGCGGCTCCATTTTTGAAGTGACCTCGCGCCGTTCACTTGTAATGCTTAGACGCTATATTAATATTTTTTAGATACCAAGAACGTGTTTAAAACGGCTGAAATGCACATATGGTAGCAAAAAGGAATCTGCATCCTTGTTGCAGCAAGAATATTGATGTTGACATTCCTTTTTGATGAACTTCCTCTCGATAAAGGTGCATACAAGGAGTATGCAATAT